AAGATGTGGTTCTCATTAATAAAATCTAAAATATGTACAGAAACAATTTTCTCTAAAACTTTGGATTAAAAAAGGAAGTTTTGAAATGGGTATAAAATTATTAAAATCAGTAGTGCTTACAATAGGTTTCTTGAAAAGTGACTGGACCAGTTTAAAACTGGATGGGACAAGACCCACCCCGGGCCGAAGGCGGTGCACCCGGAATAAGAATTACTCGATGCTAATCGACGTATCTTCTAACCTCTCGAAAACGATGTTCCAAAAGTAAGCTCTTGGCCCAACATTTGCTCTTGGTTCTACATTTGTGTCAATGCTGAGTGTATTTTTTTGGAAATTTTGATGGCACTCGTTAAATGAATGGGGCTAATGTGAGCTGACGCATGCGTCATGCTCCCGCGGCCATTTTGAAACTGTCCATAGACGGCGAAAGTGGTGGCACATTAGTTTCAACAGCGGACATAGCCGTTGCTACGTCCGTTATTGTTTACAGTCGATGGAGGGTCTAACCACATTAAAAACATTTTTGAGAAAGGTTGCTTTCATGTGGAATACAATGTCAGATAATAGAGAAGGGGATGAAGGCATAAAATTAGTCAAACATTTAAAATGCTGAGTTTCTCTATTTTGAAAAATTGCTTGGCAAGGGGCAGATATTTGGGCCCAGATGTCAGTGATCTTTCTGGAAAAAAAAAGATTTAAAAATTGTTCACACTGTTACTATACTAGATTTAGTATAAAGACTATAAAATCCCTTTGTGCTGCCGCAATATGTAATATTTAGTCTGATATGAAAATTAAGGCTAAGAAAAAAATGGATTGTAGGTCCCGACAGCAGGATGATAGAAGAAAAGTTTGCCCATGCCAGATTCTTGCATCTTGGAATCATCACTAAACACAAACCAGGAGACTTTCCATTACTTAGAGACTGGGGTTTACTTAAATTTCCTTTAGTAGCATTAATCAATTGTGTCACAATGAATATTTTGCCCTGTTCATTTATTTCACTGTATCCCTGTTTTGCCTTTTCATTTATAAAGTGGACACAATCCTTTTCTGTGGGATAAAAAAGTTTTCAGGCTATCAAAGCAATATCTACTGTGTTGGAATTGACCATGACATGCTGGATTCATTCTGATAGTGTATCCCCTCCAGCTTGACTGACATTAGAAATAAAATATCTGTGCTGCTATTATCACTTTTACAACAACTCAATTTTACTCCCATAATGCCCCTTTAGCTGGTAACCCTTGCTTTCTACCTTCTCTTGCTGACAAAGCTGTCTTATACTGGCCAAAGGTTTACAGACCTTTAAAGAATTGTTTGGGAAGCATTCTTTTTAGATACCTAAAAGATTGCAGTTTTAGCAACTTCATCTTATCTACCGGAATACCTGATAATTGATAACTTCCTCAGGCCTCTTTCTTTTCTAAAAAGCTCTATTTGATTGCATTTATAATCAGCTATCTGCTATCTGTTTAGACTCTCTTACATCAATAAAAGTTCTCTGGGGGGAGGATCTTGGCGCTATTTGAGGAGCTATGATCACAAATTCTCAAGCAAATGCATTTTAAATGCAAGTCTGCATTGCAAAGTTATCCAAATCAAGAGCTCTACAACATGGCTTTGTCCAAACTTGATAATTAGACTTGTGTCTTATATAAGACACAAGTCTTATGGCGACGCATGGCGCCGTAAAGATGGCGCCGTGTTTGAAGATGGCGCCGCACAGTTTTTCCTATGTGGTTTTACTGCAAATGGCAAATAAATGAATCTGAATCTGAATCTGAAATGTTGTATATATATATATATATATTTGTTGTTGTTTGTTTGTTATGTTGATACAAAATAAAGTTTGGAAAATACAGATCATTACAAAAGCATCTCAACATTTCAGTCCAAATGTATTGTAATGTCTAAATACATACAGTGTTTATACATGGTTATTCAGATTGAATATTGTGTATGTTCTTTGATGTTTCAGAGTGTGAAGGGGATGACGCCATTTAAAACTCAAAAGAAAAGAGGAGGTCGTTTTGGTCTGAAAAGATTGAAAGAAAGACACAAAGAGGTGGAGTCGGAGGATGGATCCCCTGGTGCTGATCGAGGTGATGTGGATGTGGAGTTTTCTCTTCCCAAACTGAAGAAAACCAAGGCACAAACTGAAGGCACAGGAAAGAACAGGCAGTATGTCAGGTGAGCTGCAGCTGCTACTGAAATGCTAGTTGTACAAACGTTAAAAGTTTAATCGTTCATGTGATTATGCTTGCTAGGTTCCCCCACATGAAAGCAGGAGCAGAGGCCAGAGCAGAGCCAGGCGACCAAGAGGACATGACCCATGTGGAGATGTCTGGAGCAAAAGTAAAAGCTCTTGGAAAAGCCCCAAAGTTTGGCATTCATTTTCCAAAGTCCAAATACAGAAAGTCTGGTTCAGTCCAGTGCACAACACCAGAAATAACGGTGCATCCACCAGAAGTATCCATCAATCTACCTGAGGAATCAGGGAACAAGACCAGAGCAGAAATGAGTCAACCCAATGAACCCTTGGCTCTTCCTTCCGGAGGTTCAAATATCCATGGACAAGTGAATGCAGGGTCTGGGACGGTGCATGGTGGGAAAGGTAATGCAAAGCTGAGAATGCCAAAGTTAAATCTACCAAAGATTCGATTGTCACGACATTCAGATGAGCTGGAGGGTGATGTCAATAATGTCAGAATCTCACCACCTCCCCAAGTAAAGCTGTCCACAGGTGACCCGGGCGCAGCCTCAGTCAGTGTGTCGAGGCCTGAGGGTTCGCACCAAGTGGAGGTGTCATTGTCCCAGGTAACAGGACATGGGGATATGAGTGTGTCAGAAGTGGGAATTCACGTACTCGATCTCAGCTTAGATACTGGACAAAGACTTCCTGATGAGGTGGAAGGCACTTTAAAACGATCAAAATTCTCTATACCACCAATGGAATTATCAAATGTAGAATTTGCCAAATCAGACTCACAAGATCTGGACATTGGCCAATATGTTGGTGGGGATGGACATTTCATAATGCCAGATTTTAATGTGAATCATCCAAAAATTGACTCTCTCGAGACGTCAGTAGAAATGCAAGAAGGAGGGGCAATGAGCTTCCAAAATGAGTGGAAAACAGAATATACAGAATTTGAAATAGCAGGTGGACGAGCAGAAATCAAAATGCCTTCAGTTGATAATTTGACACATGAAAACAACATAATGCTGAAAGGACTAGATGGAGGAATCAGCAGACCATCTGTGGTGTCTTTTCCAGAAATAATTAATGAGAAAAGTGAAGTTGAATATGGAAAAAGTTCCATTGAGATAGAGCTACCAGAAACAGGACTGAAGGTAGAAACTGGAGAACAACATCTACCAACTGCCTTATCTCTACTTGATTTCAAACTACCTGAGGCACAAATGCAGGGGCCAAAAATCAAAGGTGGATCCAGATTTGAAATACCAAAGATTGATTTGTCAAAAAACAAACTAAAAGAAGGTTTTGAAGTTAGTATTTCTACTCATGAAAATACAAAAATGACAAAAGTGGATATTTCATCTTCAACAGTCAGTATACCACAGTCATCTGTAGGATTGAAAGGACCTGAGATAAAGGGAAGGAATGTCCTCCTCTCAGACATTGATGTGGCCCTTCCCAAAGAAAAAACAGATCAGTCAGGGGCTGGGATGGGACATTTTAAACTACCTACAGTTGACATTTCAACCCCCAAAGTTAACTTAGATTTTGGTCATTCAAAGCAAACAACGATTGTCAGCCCGCCACATGCGGATATTGAAGCAAGTGGGAAAAATAAGAAAAAAGAAAAAAAATCAAAGATAAAGCTACCTTCCTTTGGATTTTCAAAGAATAAAGCTGACTCATCCGCTTCAAAAGGAGTACAATTTGAAATTACATCACCTAAAATACAGATAAAAGAGGAAGAAGGTGGGGGGAAACAAGGAGTCAATGCAGAGAGAAAAGGACCTGATATCCATATAAATCCACCGACAATCTCAATGACAGGAGCATCAACAGATGCAGACAATCAAGTCCTTTTGCCAAAGGTGGAAGGATCTGAAGCACATGTTAAGCAAACTGAAGGAAATGTGAGAAATCCGAAAATGCCAAATATTGATGTTTCCGTCCCAAAGTGTGACCTGGATGTATATATACCCAAAAGCCACGTTAAACTCACAGCAAATCCTGTCTCACAATCAGGAAACCTCAGAATGCCTGACTTTGATCTGTCTTCACCCAAGGGAAAAGGGTATTGCCCAGAGGGGACGATTGGAGGGGCCCTCCCTTCGGTTGATGTAAAACTTCCAAAGGGAAAGCTAGAGGGTCCAGAACTAAATATAGAGGTTGCTACAATGGAAAAGTTCAATATTCCTGGCATCAAAATGCAAAATGTTGAGATAACTCTCCCAAAAGGAAAGATTGAAAGTCCTGAGATTACGACAGTAAAGCCTGACAGACGTCTAGAAGGATCTGCTGGTGGGGAGTTCCCATGC